GCTGTATACCCAACCGGTCCTGGGCTTTCCTTGGTTGGTAGTCTTTTGATGGCTTCTTCTATTTCCTCCATTAATATTGGTCTGTTTAAGTTGTGTGTGTCCTCCTGACTCAATCTGGGCAAATCATATGGCTTAAGAAATTTATCGATGTCTTCATTATCTTCTATTTTATTGGAATATAGGGTTTCAAAATAATCTCTAATTATCTTCTGTATTTCTGTAGTGTCTGTTGTGATATTGCCTTTATCATCCAGTATGTTAGTAATTTTGAGTTCTCTGTCTTCTTCGTTATCATGGCTAGAGTCTGTCGATCTTATTTATTTTTTCGAAGAATCAACTTTTAGTTTTGTCAATTTTTTCAGTAGTTTCTTTTGTTTCAGTTTCATTGATTTCAGCTCTGAATTTAATTATTTCTAGCCTTCTACTTCTTTTGTTGTTGTTTTTCTCTTTTCTAGGGTTTTGAGATGAAGTATGAGATCATTTATTTGTTGGTTTTTTCTTTTATTGAGGAATGAACTCCAGGCAATGAATTTCCCTCTTAAATCTGCTTTCATTGTGTCCCATAGATTCCGATATATTGTGTCTGTATTTTCATTTATCTCTAAGAATTTTTTAATTTCCTCATTTATGTCTTCTGTAACACATTGATCATTCAGTAACATATTGTTCATTTTCCAAGTGATGTAGGATTTTTCTTTCCTTCTTTTATCGTTGATTTCCAGTTTCATTCCATTATGATCAGATAGGATGCATGGTATTATCTCCATACCTTTATAATTTCTAATGGTTGCCCTATGGCATAATATATGGTCTGTTTTTGAGAAGTATCCATGTGCTGCTGAGAAAAAAGTATATCCACTTGTTGATGGTTGATATAGTCTATATATGTCTATTAAGTCTAGGTTATTAATTGTGCTATTGAGTTCTATAGTTTCTTTATTCAACTTTTGTTTGGAAGGTTTGTCCAATGGTGAGAGAGATGTGTTGAAGTCACCCATAATTATTGTGTTGTGGTCTATTTGACTCTTGAACTTGAGGAGAGTTTGTTTTATGAACGTTGCAGCACCATTATTTGGTATGTAAATATTGATAATTGTTATATCTTGTTGGTGAATGGTTCCCTTTAACAGTATATAGTGTCCTTCCTTATCCCTTTTTATTAACTTAGTCTTGAAGTCGATTTTATTCTATATGAGGATGGCCACCCCTGCTTGCTTCCGAGGACCATGTGAGTGGTATGATTTTTCCCAACCTTTCACCTTCAGCCTGTGTATGTCTTTTCCAATCAGATGTGTCTCCTGGAGGCAGCATATTGTTGGATCTGTTTTTTTTAATCCAGGTTGCCAGCCTATGTCACTTTATTGGTGAGTTTAGGTCATTAATGTTTAGGGTTACTATTGATATATGGTTTGTCCTTCCAGTCATGTTTGATTATTTATCTATTTATTCATTTTTAATTTGGCTTGTTTCTTCCTCTTTGATTAGTTTTTTTTCCCCCACCCTCGCTTTACTGAGGTACTTCCCACTGTTGGTTTTGGGTGTTGTTTTTCATTTCTTCCTCGTGTAGTGTTTTGCCTAAGATGCTTTGCAGTGCTGGTTTTCTGGCTGCGAATTCTTTTAACTTTTGTTTATCATGAAAGATTTTTATTTCGTTGACATACCTGAAGCTTAATTTTGCTGGATACAAAATTCTTGGTTGGAATCCATTATCTTTCAGTGTTTGAAATACGTTGTTCCAGGATCTTCTCGCTTTCAGCATATGTGATGAAAAATCAGCCGTTAACCTAATTGGTTTACCCCTGAATGTAATCTGCCTCCTTTCTCTTGTAGCTTTTAATATTCTCTCTTTGTTCTGTACATTGGATATCTTCAAAACAATGTATCTTGGAATTGGTCTACTGTGATTTTGTTTGCTCGGTGTCCTGTATGCATCTAGAATTAGTACATCTGTTTCCTTTTTCATGTCTGGAAAGTTTTCTAAAATTATTTCATTCAACAGATTGCTCATTCTCTTGTTTTGGACCTTTATACCTTCCTCTACCCCGATGACTCTTAAGTATGCTTTTTTATGTTATCCCATATCTCTTGGATGTTTTGTTCATGGTTTCTTACCAACCTTTCTGAGTTGGCTAGACTCTTTTCGAGATGATATATTTTGTCTTCATTGTCTGACGTTCTGATCTCTACTTGATCTACTCTACTAGTGATACTCTCATTTAAGTTTTTAATTTGGTTTATGGTTTCCTTCATTTCTAGGATTATTGTTTGATTTTTTTTATACTCTCTATCTCCTGGTAAAGTTGCTTATGCTTCTTGAATCTGTTTATGTAATTCATTTTCAATGTGTTCTTTCATTGTTTGAATTTGCTGTCTAATGACCTCTTTAAGATTCCATTCCATCTGTGTAAAGTATTCCTTGAGTTGTTTATCTGACCATTTTTCTGATGCCTCTAGGTTCTGCATTGTTTGTACTCCTTTTCTTCCTTGTATTTTCATGATACTCGTGTCACTTCTGGCTCTGTTTGACTACTGAGTTACTGTTTAGTCCTATAAATTTATTTTGGTTTTGTGTATCTCCTGGGTCTCTCTTTTGTGATGGGAGACTATGTCTAGAGATGTTGAGTTTTATTGTACTTTAAAGCATATTCATTCGTTTCATAAAATAGTTACGAATTCTGATGGCATATAGCGATCTGCAGTTTGGTCTTGGGACTTATGTTTAGGTCGGGTGATGTGATGGTCTAGAGGTTGGTATATCTTGGCAACCTTGGATGATTGGTCTACTGAAGGAGGATATTAACAGGAGAATGGTTCGGAGTATTTGGGGGTAGCTAGGGAATTGGAAGCACTATATATCGCCTCGGAACACTTATCTATATACATTTATTAAATTAACACATAAACAGAGTTGTAATGCATGGTTGGAAAGGTATGAGAAGAGGAAGGAAGAGATCACTAAGGAGAATGAGCGAAAATAGGTAGAATTCAAGAATAGGAGAAAAAAGGAAATTTGAAAAGAAATGAAAAAAAAAAAGATAAATGCAGTCTTAGAGTTCGATTAACTTCTCTTCCAGTACGTGGAGCTGTGCCCACTGGGCCAAGCTTCTCCTCTCAATAAGCAGGAAACAATCCCTGTGAGGTGGCTCCTTCTCCCCCCCCCTCCCACTGGGCGGCTCTCCAATCCTGGTGCAGGGCCTTTCCTGGACTCCAGCTACCTCCCCCTCTTCTCCTTCAGCCTGGCTGGGCTCACTGGTGGTGTTCTCCACAGAACTAGCTACACGAGGGTCCTGCAGCTCCCGGGTGCCCTATTTTCTTGAACGACTGTGTACCCTCTCTGTTTGCCATTCACCCAGACCCCAAGGTTGTGGAGCGCAGGGCTGGGGACCGTCAGCTTATTTTGCCTGATTCCCTCCATTAGCCACGCCCCTGGGAGTTGGCGCAAGAGATCTCGGTTGTCTGGTAGCGGGGGTCAGGCGCCGCTCCTGACTCCCTCGGTCAGACAATCACACTCACCAAGAGCTGGGGAGGGGCCCTTGAGATTTCCCCGCTGTGTGGAAAGGAGGTGCCCTGGGGGGTCACACACTTGCAGTCCCGCTCTCTCTGCAGAGCGATCCCATCCGCTGAGTTCTGGTTATGTCAGTTCTCTGTCATGGTGCATGGTGTTCTCTTAGCCGTGGTATCCGATATGAAGGGTGGGTCCGGTCAGTCTCTCCCAGGTCCTACCTCAGTTCTCTGCCCACTGCCTATGGAGGCTCGGTTTGCATCACTCAAAAGGTTCACGGAGGAACTGAAGGGTTGATTCTCTATTCTGCTGGAGCGTCTCTGTAGCACTGAGTCGCAGCGGTTTGGCCACAAGACGCAAAGAGTCATCTAGTAACTCTGCACACTCTGCGCGTGGGGCAGTCTGGATTCACCCACGTGGAGCCCGCTGTGGCCTCTGAGGGGTTCAAACTGCTCGTCATAGATCCACTTCACCCCAGCATTGCCTAATGTTCCTGAGCCAACAGCATTCAGTTGGTTTCAGTCTCTCTTAGCCAGTGCAGCTGAAGAGGTCACATAATTGATCTCTCCATGTCTGCCACCATCTTTTTCTCCCCAGCACTATTATAAACTGTCCTTTTTCCACTGAATATTCTGGGTACGATTGTCAAAAAAAAGTTGACTACAAAAGTTAAATTTAATTTTAGGTTCTTCTTGGTTTCATCGGTCTTCTAACCTTTTCTTTAAAAAAAAATCTTTGTTTATTCATATATTGTTGGAGTGTCTTTTAAATAGCATATGATAGTTTTTTCTCCAGTTTGAAAACTTTTAGTTTAGAAAATCAAGTTATATTTCTTATGGTTGTTGTTATATTTAGATTTATCTGTGCCTTCCTATTTTGTGCTTGTTTCTTTTGCCTTTTTGTTTCCTTTAAATTGTACTGAAACAAAATACTTAGCAATAGCAAAATATTTAGCAAATAAGTTTTAACTTAATACTTACAAAATAGAGATTTCAGTAAGTACCACAAATTAAGTAAGAAATTACTAGAGAAAATACCCAATAACATAATTTCAGAATTACAAGAAAGATTACTGATCTTTTGTATAAAGGGAATAGTTAAATATGCTGATTAAGTGCTTTTAACATTATTTCTTAATTTTTATTCATTGATGGAAACAAAATGCTTCGTGTGTTCTTTAGATTGAAAACCTGAAATCTTCTACTTGTAGTCTATTAATATTGAGTTTTTGAAATTTAAGATACACCCCCATCTTTATCAAGACATCAGCCGTCTCTGAGTGCCTTTCATAAAGTCTGTACTTTGTAGCTGTAGAGTGGTGACAGGCGTTGCCTGAAAAGGTTCCCATTCACCAGTATTATCTGTGTCAAGACAAGAGTGAGAAAACTTTTTTTCTATTTTGTTTCGGGCCAAACTTTTGTATCCAACTGGCATGGTTGAAGTATAGGAAGGAAGACAGAGAGATGAGTATCAGCAAAGGACTTTGAAATGTTGGAGGGAATACTACAGATTTGTGAATGTGGAATGGGATGCCACTGGCAGTTTCCTTCAGTTGCCTATTTTATTTATTTGTTTGTTTTACCATGCTGGAGCTATGTACATGCTAAGCAGACTCTCTGCCACTAAGCTACGTCTCCAGCTGCATTGCCTATCTTTTTTTTTTTTTTGCAGTGTTAGGTGGGGAGTACCAGGGATTGAATCAGGGGCTCTTGACCACTGAGCCACATCCCCAGCCCGATTTTGTATTTTATTTAGAGACAGGGTCTCACCAAGTGTCTTAGTGCCTTGCTTTTGCTGAAACTGGCTTTGAACTTGTAATCCTCCTGCCTCAGCCTCTCAAACTGCTGAGATTATAGGCCTACACCACCATGCCCTGCATGCATTGCTTATTTTTAAAGATATCCTAATAACTTTATTTTTATTTACTTTTCCTAGTACTAGAGATTGAACCCAGGACCACTCCACCACTGAGCTACATTCCCAGCCCTTTTGAATTTTTATGTTGACCCAGAGTCTTGCTAAGTTGCTCAGGCAGCTGGACTTGCTATCCTCCTTCCTTGGCCTTGTGATCCTCATGCCTTTTCGGCCTCTGAGTAGCTGGGATTATAGGCACTGTACCTGGCCACAACCCTTAGACCCTACCTAAAAGGTCATCATCAAGCTGTGTATTAAATAACTTAGGTATATTACTATAATATCAGCTGTTTACCTGGCAGAAAGGAAATTCAGACTATCCCTGATTTGATATGACATTCAGTAAAACACTTCTATTAGATGCATCTGAATCATGATGCCAATTCCATTTAAGAGAGTGCTTACTGGAAATGGCAAAAAAGGAAGATTCTCTCCTATTAAGTCCCCAAACTGTAGTTTTTCTTAAGATCCAACTTGTGTATATATATGTTTTATTCCGTTTATCTCTCATCATCCACATACATTCCAATGTAATATAGTTTGGGGGCATGTAGATATTTGTATAAGCATAGCAAACATCAGTGTTAGAATTTGTAATGTGACCTTTTAGAGTCAAATGGAATCTGCTTTCTTCTATAAAAGATAACATTTAAGGTATGTATCATAGTCTTGGACATAAAATAATTTTAGTCTTTGTCTTGAGTTTGTTACTGTTTTGGACTTAATTGCAAAGGTTTTTGGTGGCAAGATTGTATCAGCAAGAGAATTACTTCTCATGATCCTCATACTAAATCCAGCACAAAAGGAAGAAAAGTGACTGTTTCAGCCTTCTTTGAAATGGAGCATAATAATACTTTATTGATATTAACATACTAATACCCTCAGAAACAATTCATCTGAGTGGTTTTCTGAAAATAGTTCATCTCTTGTTGAAGAGATGAGACATTCCTAAGGAGTACGTGTAGAACAAGTGTATTCTCTGTAATAGTTTATACATGTAGACTCAGGTATGCAGAGAAAGTAATTTTAATAATCGGCATTTTACTTCTGTTTAATTTTTGGGAGGACTATTTGTATTAGAAAGTAGTTTCCATTTTATAATGTTGTATTTTTAGTTTTCCTATGAGTTATCTTTCAAAGTTAGCATTGTAGGGAGTCTTTAATTGAGTATGTTCTTTAATTGTTAAGAGGGTCAAAAGGTTAAATATGAGCATTTCCTTGCCTTGTCCCCACTCTCTCCACCCCTATGGGATGACCAAGCCAAAGATTACGTCCTCTGTGAAACAGAGGTAATAATTAAGGACAGAAGAAATAATTAAGTTTTTAAAGAACAGTGTGAAAAGTTGGCTTTTTACATTAGATAATTGAATTATGGAGTTTCTCAGGTTAAAAAAAAGTGTTATTGATGAAACATATATGACACTGGATTTAAAAAAAATGTTTTGTGAGGAAGCACACAAACATTCAATATGCTATTTAAAGAAAATGTTTTTGGGATCCAAAAAGATAACTCTGACATATGAATCCCTAAGGTATTTTAGACACTGACTATGTGTTAGGAATATAGTAAAGAACTAGACAGAACTAGTCCTCACCCTTGTGTTTTTTGTAGTCTAAATATAAAACCCCCAAGTTTAAAATTATAAGTAGTAGGTTTTTAATTTTTAAATAATTTATTTCTTAAGTAAATGGGAAAGGACGAAATTAAGTGAATAATCTCTGTCAGATAATCTGCCAGATGAAATGGACATGTGTACATATTTTTAAAACTTCATAATTGATTTTGAAATGTCTGCTGTTTGCTAGGTATGGTACTACATACTAGGGCTAATATATTACATGCTAATAAAGAGTGTTTTTTTTTTTCCTTTTAGGTATTTTTAGATTTTGAGAAAACAAATCAGAAACTACTTTCATTTTTACTTGTTATTTATAAAGTTTTTGTCCATTCAATTTTTTGTAATAACTGCTATTTATGGAATATTTAGTGCTTGTGGGTATTTTATATGCATGATGTAATTTATTTCAGACACCACAGTGATCTACTCACCAGTTGTTGAGCATTTATTTAGGTGTCACTATGTAAGCATTTCTTCATGCAAATGAGGACCTTGAACCTTGGAGTGTAGGCAGACTGGGAATGAAGCTTGTAGCGGGTTTGGCAATCATGTGTCTGTGCCTTATCTGAAAGATTTTTTAGCAGTTTTACTTTATGTCAAACTTTCATTAAGCTGGGTGTGGTGGCGCATGCCTGAAATCTCAGTGCCTCTGGAGGCTGAGGCAGGAGGATCTGAGTTCAAAGCCAGCCTCAGCAAAAAGTGAGGTACTAAGCAACTTAGTGAGACCCTGTCTCTAAATAAAATACAACATAGGGCTGGAGATGTGTGGCTCAGTGGTCAAGTGCCTGAGTTCTGGTACTAAATAACAACAACAAAACTTTCATTAATAATATAAATAGCTTATTAGAATACAATGGTTGCTCATTAGATACATTCTAAGACCCCCAGTGGATGCCTGAAACCATGGATAATACTACATGCTAATAAATATACTCTATTTTTCCTATCCATACATATGTCTGATAAAATTTTATTTATAAATAAGAGATTAGCAACAATAACTAATATAACAATATAGAACAGTTGTAACAATGTATGCTAGTAAAATTGCCAGTATCACCACTCTTGTGTGTTAGACTGTGTAAATTAAATAATGATTACTTGAATACAAACACTGTAATAATACAACACTTGATTCGATAACTGTGATAGCTAAGTAATGAGCAGTCTTCGTATAGTTTATCCTCTATAGTCTTGGATTCAGTAAACTTGGGATTGAAAATATTTGGGAAAAAAATATGTCTATTAAGTACATACAAACTTATTTTTCCATGTCATTATTTCTCAAACTACATAGTATAACAACTGTTTATATAGCATTTATGTTGCATCAGGTATTATAAATAATCTAGAAATGATTTTAAAGTATATGGGTTGATGTGTATTGGTTATGTGCAAATTCTCTATTTTATCTAAGGGACTTGAGTATGCACTTGGGTAAAACCAATTCCATGCAAGTGCTAAGGGATGACCATAGAGTATGAGTATACTGGACAAAAGGATGATTCATGTCCTGGTCAGATGGAGCAGGACTGCATGCGATTTAATCACACTACTCAAAGTAACATACAATTAAAAACTTAGTAATTGTTTGTTAGTGGAGTTTTCCTTTTCCGTTTAATATTTTCAGACTACAGTTGACTATGGGTAATTGACTATGGGTAATTGACAACATTGGAAGCAAAACTTAAGGGGGAACTACTGAATTCACCAGATTAAAAAGAATCAATAGGAAATTTGAGTGATGCCCAGCTGGAATCATTTCATTTATTCTGAATACTTGTGAAATTTGT